TATTTGTGAGCTTTTCAATAGAAACAGACCATTTTGTGAAAAATTTTTTTTTTGAATTAATGCCATAGCTATATGTAACTCCTCACGTAAAATGATTTTGGCTTAGAAATCGTACCCACTTTGCATAGTAAAATATCGATATGCTTTAAAGTTTCAAAAATGATAGTAAGCGGATCTTTTTTTTGATTTCCTCAAACATCACTTTCACAAAATGGCCTGTTTCTATTGAAAAGCTCCCATTTAAATAATTTAATTCGATGAGTCGGTATATGAGCTCACCCCACGTGACCGACTTCTTGAGTTTACATATGTAGTGGATGATCTGCAAGTGGACATTTTAATTTTTTTTTTCATAACATTGTGCAACAAATTATTCTTAAAAAAAATGTTTGAAATAATAGATAGTTTGCCACATGAACTTCTAACTGAAATATTCAAATATATTGAATATGATTACCAAGCATTATATTCTTGTATTCTTGTCAACAAACAATGGCACAATATAAATATTCCAACTTTATGGAAGAATCCATTTTATTCTAAAGGCAGTATCAAAATATTAATTACTTGTATGTTAGAAGAAGATAAGGATTTCTTAACTAGAAATTGCATTGAATTAACTTTTGAACTATTGGAGGGGCCACTATTATACAATTATGCTAGATTTTGTACTATATTTTATCAGTATGATGATTTTATTTGCCTGATAAAAAATGGAGCAATAAAACTAGAAAATAAATTAGTAAACTTTATTTTAGACCATTCAGCAGGTATTAAAATATTTAGTTCTTATGATGTAAATTTTAATTTATTAATTAATCATCATAGATTTGATAATTGTTTTCGGAATCTTTATGAAATAGTTTGTAGTAGTTCTAATAGTGGTAAATTTTTTGATAAATTAGCAAACATTTGTAAAAATATTCAATCATTAACAGTACATTGTTATAGTAATGACAAAAGTATATATAATTTAGCACAGCTAATTAAAGCACAAGAGCAAATTAAATATTTACATATTACATCATCAACCTTACCAGATGAATTAAAAAAAGCAATATTAACTCATTCACAATCAATAATTTTTTATAAATCTCATGGCATTGAAGATAATTTTAATAGTTTCTTATTACCAACTTTTAAGAATTTAAAGACTTTAGAATTAACATATTATACTGATGGTAAAATGATAAATTTGAAAAATATTTCACTGCCAAATATTGAATCTATAAGGTTATGTGTTTCTTCTCAACCATATATGTTAGAATTGTCTGATTTTATTAATATCAATGGAAAAAATCTTAAAAATCTGTATGTTTGTAGTCATAATGATGGATTCTTGAGAGAGCTATTTCAATCAATTGCACAACATTGTAAAAATTTAGAAGATTTATCTACAACATATAGGTATAAAGTAAACCAGGAATTGATAGAAGTACTTAATAATTGCATTAAATTAAAAAGTATTAGATTTAGTAAATATGCTGAGAGTATAGATTTTGATAAAATATTGACAGTATTAAATGAAACATTACCAAAAAACTTAAAGTTGATAAGTTTTACTTATAGGATTTATAATATTAGTAACCATTCTTTGGATATTTTAATGAAGAATTGGAGAGGACCCAAACCTTTAGAAATAAGATTTGATATTCAAACATATAAGTATGAAACTTTGATAGAAAGTTATGGAAGAAAAACGTTAGAAAAATATCAAGATTTAGGGTTTTTAATAATCAGTAAAAATCGTAATTTGTTTATTGATAAATTTGAAAAATACTTAAGCGGGATAAAAACCTTTTAATCTTTCAACAATTATAGCAACTGTTCATCCAAATGTGTGATAATTATTTGATTATGATATTTTATGAATAAATATTATTCATTAGTCTTTTTATTATTATAAGAAAGTGTTATTCGTTTTATTCTTTTATTCAAATTACTAGTTTATTCATTTTATTTATTCAAATTATTAGTTTATTCATTTTATAAATAGGTCTTATTTTAACAAGATAATGAACAATAATTATATTTATAATCTATATTACTACTACTATAATTGCTAGTACTATGACTTAAGGAAAAATGTCAGCTACTACTATTTATTATTATCACTATATTCAAGGACTAAGGAAAAATAGATTGAATTGGTTTGAATAAAAATTTATTCGAATAAACCTTCAATGTAATTCGAATACTCAAACTCATAATAATAATAATGACGAATAGAACGAATAATTTGAATAAACCTTATTCGAATAGAAAACCCTAAATCATGGGTATTTAAATCACTAGATCCTCTCCAGAAGGACCTTTTTGTTATTGGGCTATCCTTGAAATCCGATAAAAAAAATACAATCTGCAACGTGACATTTACTTTTTTTTTTCAAAAAAAAAAAAAATGCCAATTCAAATTTTAAAACCAAATCCCATCAAATTCAATGAACAAGTATTTGACATTTCATTTCATCCAAATCAAAATGTTATTGCAACTGGATTAATAACAGGAGAAATTTTTTGGTAGTTTAACTTTAAAAAGTTGAAAATTTTTTTCTCTTTATTTTAATTAATTATTTTTTTAATATAAGTCATCGATATTCGTGTGATTCAAATCAAGAGAATGAGAAATTGTTATCATTGAGAGCACATAGAAAACCTTGTCGTGGGTTAATATTTAATCATGATGGAAGCAGTTAAATATCTTATTTAGCATTTTAGCATTATGATTTTTGAATGATTTATTAATAATTATAAATTATTATTATTAGATTTATTTACAATTTCAAAAGATAAATCATTGAAAAAAATTAGTTTGGAATCTTCAAGTGTCATAGTTGAAAAATCTAAAGCTCATGAGTATTTACTATTTACAAGAGAAAAATTTTATGTGAAAGAATTTGGATTCTTTATTAAAATTTATTATTATGTTTTATTAAATTTTTACTGATAGTAATCCAATCAACTGTATTAAATTATTAAATGAAAATTTGTTAGTTACTGGAGATGATGATGGAATTATAAAGGTGTGTGTAAGTGACGGGTGAGGACAAGAACAAATTTATTTATTTATTTTTTAATATATTTGTAGTTATGGGATTTAAGAAGTGAAAGCAATGTTATGGAATATTCAGAACATGAAGATTTTATTTCAGATTTAGATTTTAGTTCTGATTCAAGAACTTTAATTTCTGTTAGGTAAAAAAAACATTATTATTATTAATTAAAGGTAAATATTATTAATTAATTAATATAATTATTATTACTATTATTATTAGTGGTGATGGTACATTATCAGTATATGATATAAGAAGACCAAATTTGGTTGCAATGTCAGATGAACAAGATGATGAATTATTATCTATAGCAATTGTCAAAGTATTTATTATCAACAGTTATTGCTATTATTCTTGGTAAAATATTAACTTACAATTATCATCAACATTGTAAAGGATGGTAGGAAAGTAGTTGTTGGAAGTCAGGAAGGAGTAATTAATTTATTTACATGGGGTGATTGGGGTGATATAAATGATAGATTTTTAGGACATCCGAGCTCAATTGATTCAATAGTTAAAATAAATGAAGAGACTTTATGTACTGGCTCAAGTGATGGAATAATCAGGTAAAATTTATTTATTTTATAAAATTTAAAAAAAAAATTTATTTCTAAATATTTCCTCTTATATTTAGGGTAATTGGGATTTTACCAAATAAGTTCCATGGAGTTATTGGAACTCATGATGAATTTCCAATTGAATGTATAAGATTATCACATGATCAAACATTTCTTGCTAGTTGTTCACATGATAATTTTGTTAAGTTTTGGGATGTAAGGTATTTATTTGAAGAGGAGGATGGTGAAGAAGACAACGATGATGATGATGATTCAAAGATGGATTTAGATGATAGCCATAACAAAAATAGTAAGAATGATGGCAAAAGTAAAAATGTTGATTTCAACCAATCAAATGGTTTTTTCGCTGATCTTTAAATAAAAAAAATTTTGATGCTCAGCACAATATACATTTATTTTATGAAAAAATGCTATGCAAAGCCATCAAGAAAATAGAGATGATCAAATATTAATGGAAATGTTACCTTTTTTTGTTAATTACATGACTAAGAAAACTTTTTTCCTACACAAAAATTTGTAATGAAATATTGTCAAATATTTAATGGTCAATAATAATTATTCAACAACATTAATAATAATTAAAGCTCTTGTTATTTTATTCGGAGAATCCTTCTTACTAATTTTTCATCCAAACCCAATAGCATACGATCTTAAAATGGAGACAATTCTAATTTCAACAATGATTCTATATTTTCAACTGTATTTTCCAAGTGGAACTTCAAATAATTTAGAATTGCAGAAAAGTGTTGGCATTATATAGATTTTTTTAACCATTCCTTCTTCAGAGCCTTCTCTAATTCTGGCATTTATTGTTTGTTAATCTTATTTCAAGTTCTTGCAAAGATGTTCTATGGGGTAAGATCGGAGATTGAGAAGGCCAATCTTCTAAAATTTTAATTCTATTTTCTTTAATCCAACCTTGAACAGCTTTGGCATGCTGCCATCTTGAAAGGAGTTATTTATATTATCAAATTTATTTCTAACCAAAGGATTTATTTTCCCATCTACCTTAACTCAAGGATCCAACCCTTTACCAGAAAAGCATCCCAGACTGTTATTTCATCACTGCTGATGGAACAAGGCTCTCGATATCATAACAATGGCCATCCTTTCGCCAACATGATCTGGTCAATCATTTTTAAATATTGTAATCACGATTCATCATTCCAAATCACAGTTTTTTGTGATAGTTGAATGTTTTCTTTCTCTCCTTTGGTTTTTCTGATAAAAAGGGGTTTATTGCAATGACCCACGAGTAAATCTTAAGCTCATGAAGGTTTTTACAATTTATTTTTTGTAGAAACATTTTTACCACTTGCTATAGTGAATTCTCTTTGTATTAGTTCAACAGAATTATGATTGTTATAAATTATAACAGCAACCAAAACTCATCAGTGTTGACATGATGTTCTCTTTTTAGACTAAAATAATTATAACAATAAATTAGCTATTAGAAATACAAAAAAAAATACCTTAAATTAATTAACTTACTTTTTTCTATGAATTGATAAAGCTAAATCTTTAGTCATTTTACAATGAATATCAACAGAGTCAATACAAGCTTGTTCAAGATCTGTGGAAAATTTTAATAATTTATCATTTCCATCTATTTCAGCTCTATGAGCTAACCTCTTTTCCAAGCAAAAATTGAAGCAATTGGATTCGTTGAAGTTTCTTCGTCCTTTATTTTTTTTGAAGGTAGGTGATGAAAGAGAAAAAAATAAATTATTCAATAATTATTTATTTATTTAATTTTTAGCCAATTCCATTTACAACAATAATGTGTTGTATTAGTACACTGTAACGTTGTTGTACATATATTATGATCAATAACGAGTGATGACGAGAATATTTATTAGTTAATAAAATTTATGTGACGGATTTTCTTTATTTCATTCGATCATATTACCAATTATTTTTGTTAAAATCGACAAGACCTTTTAAGAATAGATTATTATTATGTGATTTGGGTAGAATTAATTATTTGTTTTTAAGTAAATACATTAAAAATTATGACAATTATTCTTTATCATCATGATTTAATATATTACAGTTTTTCCCGATCATTAATTATTAAGGCTAGGAATTATTAAAAAAATTATTACTTTTTATTGGGCAAAAATAAGAAAAATATGTCAAATCCGAAAAACGGTTTTTTTCAATTGCTTTTTATTCTTGAGTAAAAATAAAAAAAATTACGTCAAAATCCGAAAGAGAGTTTTTTTCAAATTGTTTACATCTGCGTAACCAAAATTATTTACTTTATTATTCTTGAGTAAAAATAAAAAAATACGTCAAAGATCCGAAAACCGTTTTTTCAATTGTTATTACGTACTATCCTGCAGCTGCGCAACTAAAGTTATTTGGATCATTATTATTATTATTATTATTTTAAACGATAAACAATATCTTTTAGATTATGGCTAAAATTTACGATCTAATTTTTTTTTTGGGTACACGATAACGAGGTTACTATTAAAGTATTAAAGTGTGAGTTCATGGATACGCACGCGCGCATTCGTTAACAATTATAATTGATAAAATGTTTATTGTTGTTATTAGTAATAATTAAATCATTAGTAATGGTAATAAAATTTTTCAATAAAAATAACTGACAATTCAACAATTTTTTTTTTTTTAAAAAAAAAATTTAATTATTTTCAAACAAACAAACGCTTTTTTTTAAAAAAAAACACAATAAAAATCTATTTTTAAAAACGATGGCATCTATTTTAACTTATATATATATAAACTGTGAGCGGTGCAAATGTTTAGTTGCATATTGTAGAGTAGATGAAGAAGAATTAGTAAATTTAAATTTTAAGGCGTTTCGACAGAGCTTTGAAGGAATGATTCAAGAAATTAAGGAAGATTCCATTATGATGATGGTTGGAAGATTTCTTAATGTCGGATCTGAATTATTTGTAATTTTTTTTTTTTTTAATAATCATTTATTATTATTTCGATAAATAAATGATGAGAGATTTAAAAAATGCAACAAATGATTTTTTTTTTTTTTTTGTGTAGGTAACTGTCATTTGAGCAATAAACTTAGACCTAAAATCTTTGAACGAGGAGCCCAACATGGATGATCCTTGTAAAGAAAAGGCCAAGCCAAACAGTGTTGTGAGCAGAAACTTTTTTGGCTTCCCGAAACGTTTCGGAAAATGAACTTATACAAAGCAGAAAACTAAAACTAAACATATACATATACATAAACATAAACTACTAACCTAAATAAGTTTCAGGTGTTTTATGTTAGTTTCTGTTTCGGGTTTTCCCTAAACTCAGAGTTTCGGGTCACAACTCTGAAGCCAAAGGGTGACTAGATCAGAACTTCTTCATAATGGAAAGGAACACCTACAATTCGTTCACCAGCACACCCAACAAAGTAATGATCCCATGTACATATACTGTCTCAAATGGCAGACATTCGGGAGTAGCAGATGCAACAAAATCATCAGCGGTCTTTTCAGTAACGAGTGAGCTGTTTGTGGGAAGGAACATCATGCAAATCATTTGTAGCGAAATTGAATGGTTTTATCCCAGTCCAGTGCAAAGCAAATCATCATCAACAACTAGAGTCAAAAGAAAGAATGATGATTTGTTGAAATTTGAGGAGCAGATCATTGGAAAAAAATCTCACGAGTCATCACCGATAAACGCATTAGCAACATCGTCAAACTCATCATCATCAAGTAAGAGATCACAAAAGCCAAGCAACAAGGAAGAAGTGACAATCAGAAAACGTGCTCTGATGCTTCCTTGAATATGTCAAAACTAGAGATATTGGCAAATGCAATAAACCAAGTTAATAATAACAAAGGTAAAGCACCAATTTGCTATCATCAAGACAACAAAGATCTTCTGGTTGAGAACCAAAAGGATGAAGTTGAAGTTCAAGATATAAATGTAGATAATGACAGTGATGATGACACTATTTAAACTACAAAAAAATTAATTTTATATTATTTTTTAAAGCATTTTAATTTTAAATATTTTAAACTCATTGTTTGAATGAACGATTTTTTTGATTGTTGAAAATATAAAAATTGTGTGAATTAGCATGTTTTTATTTTGTGAAATAAATCAATCTAAATAAATTTTATTTGATTACAAGCCAAAAAATACATGATTACAAATTGAAAAAAAATATAGAATTAATTAATTATTATTATTATATGTGATCATTTTGCGTCCGAAATTTTAATCTTGTTTGCTATTTGACCCAGCTGCAGCAGTACCTATCTGTATAGTTTGCGGGTCCTGCCACAACATACATTTTATTATTAATTTTCACTATTTTGCTTAAAAGCTAGTTTTTGAGCAATTTCCAATTGATTAAAAATCATTAAAAAATAAATGTTGAATTAAAATTCAGTCATAGCTCAGTTGACTTGAAAGTTTTCTAGTTACAGCTACACTTCCTGGTCATAAATATAAGGACACTTGCAGATCATCGGAAATAATTGAATAAAGAAACATGAAAAAAAATA